TGTCTATTTTGTTCTTTGTAATTTATTGTTAAGTAATCATGTTTATTTTTGAAAGACATAAGCTGGAAGAAAGCTGTGGTTTTGTAAAATATGAATTTCATTTACTGTTTACTCAAAAGAATGACTTATACTGTATATTTTAACAAAACCACACCAATTCTAAGCACTTAATAACATGTCACTTTATCTCCTAGTGAAGTACAAGATGCCTTTCTTAAGAAATGCAGTATAATCAAACATAGCTGTTTCTTGTGGCTTAAAATAAAAAACTAGATTTGACTCCAAAACAGCGTGCATTCCCACTGCCTCACTCTCAGCTTTTACTTACTCGTAGACCATTTGGCTGAGTTAGGTTGATGAGGATCTGGATTTGGTTCTTCCATTTATCATCAGTGCTAACTTTATGGAAGTGCAAAGCAGGTGATGGCCTAGCCCAAAATTCGGGACAAGCAACTAGGCCACACTTGGAAACATTCGTCATCCACCAGCAATAATGACTTCTTTTTAAAATTGTCAGAAAGATATTAGTATATTATTGGGAAATTAGGAAGTGAACGGGAAGGGATGCAAAAAGTATTCCTGCTTAACAGGAGAGGGAGAGACTAAAGCCAGTGCACTTCCGCAGCTGAGTGGGCTTTCACTAGTGTCTTTCAACAGCACTGTGGGGTTTTTTTTGCATAAACCTCATATAGCGCTTTGCAGGTAGCTCTGCTGCCACACGGGATGTACCCCTCTTGATACATGTGAATAGCTTCTGTCACCCTATGGGGAGGTTATAACTCCTTCTATCTATTTTGATGTGTGATCCATGCAACCTACCAATACTTCTGATTATGGAAAAAAATATAATGAAAGCCATTGAAAATACACACAGAAGGATAACATTCTTACCCTTTAACTCTCTCTGGGAAGTTTGACAAAATAAATTTACAGAATCCAAACAATGTAACTGTATTTCTATGTTCAGGAAATGCCAATAATTGAAGGTGTAATGTTCACGAATCAACTAGTATGTACCGTCAGTATAACTAAAGCAAAAAGGTGAGTAAACTCAATTGTTCTGATAGAATTGTTCCTTCATGAAAGATACTAAATATTAACAGAAACAAGTCTCAAATTGTTTTTATTGGGCAGCTTTTCTCCAACCTGTGTCTTCAGAACTGTAAGTCCTGAATGATAATCTGTTTCTGGAACTCCCTAGAGTCAAGTCAGGTTGACAGCCAGTGTGCAGACCTGAGAGCAGAACTTTTGCTGTGATATTTTGAAACAAAAGGAAATTATAATGTTCTTCAGTTTAAAAAATGTTTTAAGCTGTCTTCTTCATTAAAAAAAAAGACAGTAATGTATAAAAACATAGCATCTTGGACATTTCTTAACATCTCAATTTAACATTAAGATGTCTCTTGTGACTTTGATTTTACTTACAGATTAATTAGTTTTCATCAGCAGGAGCTTCCAACTTCCCTCATCTTTACTACAGCATTTTTACTGTGACACAAGCTGCTGGAAGTTTTACTGGCGTTTTCAAATATATCCTGAGCACTTGCTGAGGGTGGAAGTTGTGTAACTAAGCAAATGTGTCGTGTGTAATTCAAAGTTACTGGTGCTGATGGCAACCTTTCTACTGACTGACCAGCTCCACATGAGTAAAGAAAAGTAAAAAACCCTCAAGATGGATCAAGTGCTTTCCTACAAACAACTGCATTCAGAATAGATGAAAAGCTTCTGTTTTTCCACACTTGGTCTTTCCAAATCATAATATCCTTCACAGATAGACCACAGAATTATACAAGCCCTAGCTGGAATAGGGTTTAGTCTTCAGAAATTCAATACATTTTTGCAAATATAAAAGTGAAGTTTCAATAAAATTGTTTATTGTGGGCTATTGCTAAAACAGATCCAAATCACACAAGCTGTGGGACTTCAAACTTCACTACAGAAGAGTGTTAACTTCACTCCGCAAAACCAGCCACCGCTATGGGAGTTCTGTCCACAGGCTAAAAAGTAGCATTAGCAGTTGAAACGTTCTCTAAATTCACTAGTCAATTACTGATAATCAATGAAATAATGAGAAAGAAAATCATCAAAATGCTTCTAGTACTTCATAATTATTTTATCAAACTGCTGTTTTTAAACGGTCAATATTAAATTGGATAACCATCACAAAACATGCTAAACGCAGGATGAATGCTCTGTTGGCCAGTAAGTGTTGTGTTGCCACAAACTGAAAATATTTCCTGTTGGAAGTTATGCATGACAAAACTGTGTATCTATTTTTTAAAAATAGCAACATGAAATTATGATAAATATCTCACTGGCTGTTCTTCAGAATGAAACTATTTATATCCAGGAAGGAAGGGATCAGATATGGCATCATCACAAACACAGGGAGTTCCTGATTGTATGGCTCCGATAGAGCTGCCTCGAGCGAGCGTCAGATCTGACAGGAGCATATGGGCTCCATGTGGCTGGTCTCAAAGCACGGTGGTTTCTTGGGCTCTGCATGCATTCCTGGGGACTACGTCTGGGAGAGTTCCTCAAAATCTTCCTTGCTGAAGGGTAACCTCATTCCCCTCAAAAACAGTAAGGGCAAAATTCTGTGGGAGAAATAACATGGGAGAAACTCCTCATCGATTTCATTCTCCTTAGTCACTGTAGGTGGGTTTTATTATAGGAGGGCATGTTCTGGCCCTTTGTACATTTTTGTGAAAAGTTGGCGTCACAAACTGCTGCTGTGATCCCTCTGCCACAAAGCTAAAATCTAGCCCTCTCGCTGGCATATGTTTCAGGGGAAACAACATATCTAACAATTTCAGCCCTAATGAAGGCAGAGATCTTTCAGATAAGAAAACTTCACATATATGCAGATTAATGGGAGTCCTAGATAAATGCTAGTCCTAGTCAACGCTTTCATCCTCGGCTTTATGATGCTTATAATATTAATAATATAATTACAGGACAGACAGGTGGCAAAACCTATTATTAAGGTTGCCTGACATTTCCCATAGCCAGGGCAGCCAGCTGCTGAGCTCTGCAGCTGATGGGCATCACCCACCCCAGTAACTAGTGTATTGAGCCTGACCAAGCTAAGGAGGACTGGCCATTTCTCCCCATGAGTGGACATCTGAGGTAGTCATGTATACTTGACTGCTGAACGCCGAGATTGTAATTTTTTTTCATTCTGACTTGATCTTGCTCCAGCTCCTTTTTGTTATGCAATGTTATGCAAACAAAATGTGAGTAAATTCAGGGTTTTCATCCTCCAGGCTAAGCGGTGGCATTGTGGTAGGACTCGAAGGTGAGATGAGTTTCTTGTTTGCGTTTTTTTCTTTGCTGTTTAAAGGGTGCTGATGTAAATGTGACTTCCATTTCACCAAGTTATAAAAAAATCCTTTTTTTTTTCTAGACTGTACCTCCAACAAATGGTTGTAGATGAGCAGGCATAGCCAAATAGTAGATTATATTTATGTCAGCTGGTCTTGTGGATGTCGCTGTGAGGATTAACTTCTGTTCAGTCACAGTAGTAGCCTGCGTTGTTAATTCGTTATTCCATGCTTGCCTCCACACTGACTCCACAGCATGGAGAAATTCACGCAAACATGCAAACACTGGAATAACTTTGTCTTCAAATCCTTCCTCAAATGTTCTTTGCAATGGTGCCCACCAAAAATTTAACAACAGCTGAGCTGGTGGTGAGCTGAGATTAGGGCTTATCTCGCTGACCTGTGCAGTTTCCTTGAACTCCCCTGGCACTGTAGCCAGTTGTTTCTTGTCTTAGGCTTAGATTGTTATCTGTCCTGTGGATCATCTTTTCCTCTCTTTGCTTAGTGTCTGACACAATAAATTTTTTGTCTGTAAGTAGAGCTCCTACGTGCTTATAATAATAAATATGATCATCTGGGGATGAATTAAGACCATGCAATAAGGGGAACAGATTCAAGTTGTTTACTAAAAGGATCTGTTTTCCAAGAACCCTCATTTCATTTGTTTCAGCAACTGGAAAGTAGGAGTTGAAGAAAGAGAAATGAGATTTAAAGCACTTAACTTATTCCCTGGAGCAATATGATTTATTCATGTCTTTGTCATAGAATGTTTTTGAAATGCAATGGTAAATGACTTGTACCTGGCTTTTTCGCTGGTAGTCATTAATACTGCATTTCTCATTTTTGGGGTTCCTGACTTCTGCAATTTGAGCCCATATGTTTTAAATACAGGATACGTGTGCCTAAAGTTAGAAGCTATGCTTTGAACCTAGGCAGCGCTATATAATAGTTTGAAAGCTATTGTCTCAAACTGGTCACTCAAAATTAATGAAATTAATGTTTAATGTGCTCTTGCTAGGTGAGAGCCCCCATGTGGAAAATTCAGGTGGCTCAATCCTCTAGTTCCCAGAGCTGCTGTAAAGATAGACAAGTACCTCTAGAACTGTTCCTGTATTGCTTTGAGGGCCGTATGAAAGCTGAGGAAGCATTGTAGTAATTCTCTCTTCAGAGGAAAAAAAATACAGTGGTGTTCAACGTGTGGCCCCAAGCACTGCACAATGAAGAAACAACCACGTTTTGCTGTTTGCTCAAGAGAATGGTCTTTTACACAAACGATAAAATTAGCAAATGGTCTAAATCCAGCATTCCGGCACCCTCAGGGAGCGGGTCATTCTGTGCAGCAACAGAGCTCAGGGGTTGGCCGGCCATGAACATTTAGCGTGCCTATGTACAGGAGAACTTGCTGGACCAGATTCTGCTTTTCAATACACTTTTGTTACTGCACTGTTTATTCTAGGCAAGCTGTGAAGTATACAAAATTACATCAAAGGCAATTGAGCTGGTTTTGGGGGGGGGGAAAAGTCCTTAAACTGTTATTTGTTTACTTGTTTAAAACACTCAGAATTCTTTTGTTTTGCAGATTTTCCCAAATTTGCTGTAGTTCATTAAAAAAAAAAGAGGGATGAAGCCAAGTGAACAACCTCCTTTAAAAAGAAAGCAAACTCTAACAGTTAAAGTAATTGCACTGGATGGCACTCACTATATATTTACAAGTCCCTGACTAGTTTTCATGGCCATGCGTGATGAATTTGTCATAGGATATGAAGTGAGCAGCATTTCTTGAAAATAATGCTTTATCATTCAAACATCAATACTTCTCAATAGCTGGTTAGAGGAAATATTTGCATAATATCATGAGGGAAATAAAGTTTATTCTAGTATTAAGGGACAAAAGGAAATTTTTGTTTGTGTTTTATTTCAGCTATGAAGAACTCTATATTAATAACATGAACCTGAAAAGCAGGAAGAGTATCTTCAGGAGCCAGGAAATTGCAAAGTGAAGCTCCCGCTGTTCTAATCTGGCACAGTGAGATTAATAACAAACAAAAATGTAGTTTTGTATTAAAGATGTTTATCATGGACCAAATAAGTCAAAGCCCAGAATTCTGTCAAGCAGTGCCTAACACTGATTTAAAGATCATAAAAAAATGAAAAACCAGACTAACATCTTGAATGGCAGCTTTTAGGCATTTTCTTGATATCAAAATTATCATAGTTAATTTTCAAAGCCTAAGTCAGTCAGTCTCGTAGACTCAATACAGGTTAACTGTGATAACTAAATGCTCTGAGTTTCCCTTGTTGATCTTAGATGCTGCAATTGCTTTAAAGCTGAACTTTCTAATTCCCCAAGGTGCTAATTCTGCTGAAGCTGAAGGTGGACAGAAGCTAGATTCCAGCTTGCAGTGCCACTCCATCACCTGCACAGTACAGTAGTCACAAAGGGGAAGCATAGCATCTATACTACTATACATCGTAGGATGCTACCTAGCCCTGCCTGATTGGACAGCTTTTCCTATGGTCTGCCTAGGTTCTTGAATGTAGGGGAATGGTTTGAAAACCTGCTTCGTGTTCTCCCAGCTGTCTGTAACACTGTCTGGCAAATATGTTCTGCTGCACTCAGGGTCTTCAGCAGCCACTCCATGGACTGGGTAACTGCCTCAGGTAATGCAAAAGAACACAAAATTCTGCAATATGGTAAAGCTGGATATGAAAGCAATTTAGAATTGCTTTCAACATGCCCTAAAGTACTGTATCTGCTACACTCTGTTTTTAATATTCTTTTCAGTGACCATTTTACCCAAAAATGTCTTTCTCTGCAACAACTGGGGGGTTCGCTTACCTTGTAACCACTAAGAAATGCAGGTTTATGCTTGACAAGATTGCTTACAGTTCTGCTGTTCACATAACAGCTGCAGCAATAAGCAGAACCAGAATAAGAGCTCTTACTCCATCCTCTAATTGGCAAGCTTCTACCTAGGTAAGCCATACCTCTTGAAATTTTCTGGATTTTCATGCTTTTCTTGTCTATTTTTGGTGTTTACATATTAAACTGAGTTGTCAAATGTCTGTTATAACTTCTTGGGAGGAGAATACATAATGGAGTTGCAAAGGCTAACAGGTAACTCCATGATAATGTTTGTCTTGGACTGCTTTCTTGATATGTCCCTGCCCCAACCTTCTATTTTCAATATTTCTTTACCTTAGAGTTGTGAAAGGGTGAATACTACATGTCCTGCTTTTATCAGTAACAGAGTAAGAGAGGAAAGGATATGTGACTGAAATTATGAAGTTTGTTCCGTAAAGGCCCAAGATATAAATACATTCACAAGGGATTTGCATATAAGTCTTAACTCTGCTTTGTTTCTCTGTGTGTCGCTTCTTCCATCTGCTCCTTTATGTCTTTTGGCTATGTGTCCAGACCTACCCGGACCTTCTTGTAAGTATGATCTACCCTATTTTCTTTGTTCTTTCCCCCTTTGATCATTTCCCATGGTTGTATATCTAAAAGTGTTTATTCTTTTCCTCCTATTTTTAGTTTATAAACAAAGAACTAAACAAAGATAATAGGAAAGTTTTTCAGAATGCTTACAGTCTTTTTCACAGTTCAGACTGATATCATGTTTTAAATAATCAGATTTTGGCCCTAATTAAAAACGATTTTTAAAATCTGCTCTAAAAGCATTCATTCTATACCAGTTCATAGTGTAAAAAAACAATGTAAATGTTCAGTAAGTGCATATACCTCCACAGCAAAATCCTTAGCAGCTTCATTTTCATCATGCACAAAGAACCTCAGTAATTCTAGTTTCTGTTAATTCTGTGGGTTTGCAGAACCATGAATTTGTCCCATTTGCAACAGAACTAAAAAATGTATTACATTTTATGCCACTGAAAAAATCTTACATGGAGAAGAGCAACTTTGTGGATTGGACCGGTGGCTGCTGATAGCAGCACTATCCTTCAAACTGTATCCCAGACAAATTTATCTAGTTTTTCATTTCCATGTTCTTATTTATTTTTATTAGTGAGACATGACACTCTGTTACACTTAAGTGAGCCCTGTAAAATTGTTGGAAGAAAAGAATACCAAAAGGAAGACTTGACAAAACACAGTCATCCAACCTTGATGGGAAGAACAAACATTTCCTGCTTAAGTTTTTCAGCACAGTGCCAGACGAATTTATTTTTTACTGTCTTGTTCATGTTAATATTTCCAAATTGTTGAGCTTCTGTCTGTGGTGTAGTTAGAACCATCTCTTATATTCCAGTGGACTGATAAAGAATGTGGTTTAAAAAGACAGAAAACTCTGTAATAGTAACCCAACTAGTCCAAAAGGTAGACGAAACCAGTACTCATACAGCAGTGGCAAAATTAATCTGAGTTTCTAGCTGTAGTCCTGTGATGTTTATGCAACAGCAGCTTTATGTGTAACGAGGTGGTGACTGAATCAGATTGCATTAGCTTTAGGGCGAATGTGGGCTTTAGAAGGGGTTCTTGCCCACCTCTAAGCAAGAAGAATCTTCAAATCTTGAAAAGTGATTGTGGGTACAAATCAGTATCATTTAATCCCAAAGTTTAGATGAAACATTAGACTTTCTTTCTCAATAGTTGTATGAAATGTTGACATGCAATTGAAATGCAAAAGTATTTAGGGATTTTGCCCATTATGAAAATCTCCTATATATTTTACAAAAAATATTTTTATTTACTTTATGTAGGTTTGTACAGATCTGTATATGCTGTTTATCACTACTTTTTATTAAGTTTATATTAAAGCACTGTGGACAGGAACTATTTTTTTCCAGCATACCTCAGTCTTCATGTACAGGCATTGCTTCCGAGGCAGACGTATTCTGGAGTTGGCCTCTGTCACTGTGTAAACCTGGTCTTCTGTTCTTTCAGACATGTTGTCAGTTGTAGCAATAGTTCTTCTAAGAGTAGTTCCTTAACCCACCAAAAAGCAAAAAGATCTGGCTTCATAGAAGAAACAAAGCATTTATCGCAAGACAATTTTCCATTGCTTTAGTACTTAGCCAGACTTAATTGGCGATTCATTTCTAGAAGCCTTCTTAACACCAGATTCCTAAGCTATTCATTGTCCTGTCAGTTCTAATGTAAGTGCACTAACAGGATGCACCTAAAAAACAGCCCACATTGGACACCAGAGTCCTAATGTAAGTGCACCCATGGTGCTCCCTGGATTCATCTGTTGTGACTCGTGACCTACAAGTCTCAATGACTACATTCTAGAAAGCAGTGTACCAAATTGAAATGTCTACCTACTTGGTCTGTAAGAGCCTCTCAGGTATCACTAAGTATATTTCATTATGCCCGGGTCTCTCCTAAAACCAATTCTTCCCCTAATAAGTTCTAATATAGGAATGGCAGAATTCTACCAGTTGTATGTTTAACAGATAAATACTGTAAACTATTACCAACTTTCACTTTTAGGAAAGTGGAATACTTTCTTAAGTAATTGTACCTACGGTGGACTGAGAGGCTGTTAGCATTTTTCCCAAAAGATAGGATTCAGTGAGTCGAAATTTGAACTTCTTACATGGATATATAAAGGCAGACAATGATCAGAGCAACCCAAGAGGAGAAGCAAGCTGCTTCTCATCTCTGAGGCTGTGAAAGCAAAGTATTAATAATAATTTTTACAGAATTGGAAGGAGGATGGCACAAGGCAGCGTGGTTCCTAATCTGTTCTCCTTCTACTAGACAGACAGCATGAGGAACATGGAGGGGGGCTGAAGGCATTGCGAACACACCACTTGCTCCAGCACGTACACAGTGGTTGGGAAGAAGGAGCACCAGTTCAGAAGTCAGCAAAGATGGAAAGCAAGATTAATGAATTATTGAAAGTTTGCTTTCTGGCATCCTATTTCTCCCCCCCGAGCATAAGCAAAAAACAGTTAAAATGTCTATTTAAACCACACCAGCTTAATCTAATCTGCTAACCCATTACCTCTGTTCAAACCTTCCCACCACGATGCCCCTAGCCAAGGCTAACCCGCCTGCCGGCACCGCTGTGCCCTATGCAGTGCTTTCTGAACAGCCATCCCGTGACTTTACAGTTTAGCTTATGCGTTACAGTCCGTATTTGCCCTCCTCATTAGAGACCTTTAGCAATTAAGCTTATCTTGTCATGGCATAAGAAAAGCTGATGAGTGCCTGTTTGGTGAGCCCCGGCCGCCGGCCGGCACACCGCAGGCTCTGTTCCCCCGGGAGGCGGGGGGCCCGGCCCCAAACACAGGGGTGCAGCCCCCCGCCCCGGGGCCAACCCTCTCGGGCACCCCGCAGCCCGGCG